AGAAGGAGCTGCCCAGAAACCTCTGTAGCCTCTGCTCCACATGCCTCCCCCAAGGACACCAGCCCACAGGCCCCTGTTGCATCTCTGCCCAGTCCTTAATGCCCCAAGGCTGATCCTGGACTCGTGGTCCTGAGCAGGGTCCTGGGACCTACCTCTGGACAGCAACTCATGACACCTCCCCAGATGTGACAAGCAAGCCCCACATGACCACATCAGGATGGCTCTCCTCCATTGCCTTGGGCTTGGCCATCAAGCACCCCAAGTCCTCACTCTGAAGAGTCATTCAGCCATCTTTTTCCTGCCTACCCCTCCTCCCCAGCCTTGTTGAGGTTCTCACATGAAACTCATTCTAGTTTAATAAGGAAAAATTATTCTCCTTCCTCTTTACCAAAGTGTCCTATGCCTGAGACTCAGCCAGGACAGGGTGTGTGCTATTGCTTCATAATTTTGGGGGGCACAGGTAGCCCCACCTGGGGCAAGTAAAGGCTCCTGGGAATGGATGCATAGGAGTCCTCCTAATGTTCTTCTTAACATGAATCACTTTCTTCCTTAGCACTTATGAACAACACTATTGTCCTGGATAAATGCAGTCTTCTCTCTCCATAGAAGAGCAGGATTGTAAAAATGACCATGAAAACTGAAACCAAAACCCTGGGAAGACATCTCCATAGTGATCATGAAAAACTATTCATGGTTCTTCCAACTTTTCAGCATTTGTCAAAATATGAAAGACACTGAAAATATCAGTTAAATGTCAATTTAAACTATAGGGAAACATAAACAATAATAAAATTTGAAACATAGAAACACTGAGCGTTAGTGTTTTGTGATTTGGTAAAAACTTATCCAGAGGAGTGTCAAGATGCTGGCCTTGTTCTTCTGTATTTGAATATGCAAAGCAAGCACCTTTTCTACCTTGGTGAATTATCAGCCCCTTCAATACCATTGCCCTTTGGGTCACCACCACTCCCCTTGTGTATATGGGTAATGTCACCTTCAGTAAGTTTGTCTGTCTGCAAAGCAAAGTCCCCATACGAGATCCATGTCCACACACCAAGGCCAGCTGCTTCTGTTCTGACCCACTTGTGCCCAGATTAATGTCATTTCCATAATTGTCACCTCTCCTGTCCTCACTGTGATTTTTTCTGTGTTGATTAGGTATTTAAATATAGAATGGATCAAAGAGGAAATGAAAGTAGAAATGAAGAATCCTTAGAAACAAATTCAAACAGAGACACAACATATCTAAATATCTGGGACACTATGAAAGCAGCTCTAATAGGAAAATCTAAATCATTGAGTGCCTACCTGAGTGAAATAAAGAGATATCAAATAAATAAGGTTATACTCTAACTCAAGGCCTTAGGAAAGGAAGAACAAACTGATTTCAGAAAGAGAAGAGAATAGGGAATCATTACGATCAGAACAGAAATTATTGCAATTGAGAATGAAAAACAACAAAGAGGATCAATACAAGGAGGAGCTGGTTCTTTAAAAAGTTAAATAAGATTAAAAATCCCTCAGCCAAATGACCAGAAAGAGAGAAAAGACTCAAATATATCAAATTAGAGATGAAAAAGAAAACATCACTGGAAATACTCCTGAAATCCAGAGAAAGTCTGGACACTGTGTACAAAATTCAGACACAAAAAAGTTAGAAAATCTAGAAGACATTGACGAATTCCTAGACACATGTGACCTGCCCAGATTGAGCCCAAAAGATATAGAAAACCTTAACAGAGCAGTGTCAGGAGTGAAATTCAAACAGCAATTAAAAGGCTTCCAACAAAGAACAGATGAGGACCACATGCATCATCAGCTAAGTTCTACCACACCTTTAAAGAAAAACTAACACGAGTCCTTCTCTAACTGTTCCATGCAATTGAAAGGGAGGGAACACTCCCAAATGCACTCTCTGAAGCTAGTAGAATCTTTATGTGAAAACCAGACTGAGACACACAGAGTGAACTTCAGGCCAACACCACTGATGGGCATAGATGCAAAAATACTTAATGAAATATTACCAACCTGCATGAAAAACACAGCAAGATGCTAATACAGCATGATCAATGGGCTTCATCCCAGGGAGGCTAGGTTGGTTCAACATTCCCAAATCAATAAATGTTGGTCCCAACTTAGACAGAATTAAGGACAGGAATCACAGGACCATCTCAATAGGTAAAGAAAAAAATCTTTTGAACATCAATTCATGATTAAAATGCTGAAGAAGGTTAGGATGAAAGAATCTTACCTCAGCATTGTAAAAGCTGTGAATGACAAACGTCAATCAACATCACACAAAATGGAGAAAATTTAAATCCATTTTCTCTAAAATAAAGAACAAATCAAGGTTGTCCACTCGTCCCACTCCTGTGCAATATACATCTTGAAACACAAGACAGAGCAATCAGGCAAGAAATGGGAATTAAGGGATACAAATAGGAAGAGAACAAGTCATCTGCTTGGAAATGACATGATGCTGCCACTATAGGATGCCTAAAACGCCATCAGATGATTTTTAGAGATATAAATCAATTCAGCAAAGGAAAATGACACAAGATCTACCCCCATAAATCAATTGCTTTCCTGTCCTCTAACAGTGATCCAGCCAAGGAAGATATCATCAAAGTCATCCCATTCACACACACACACACACACACACACACACACACACACACAATTGAAATTCCTGGGAACTAATCTACTCAAGGAGTAAAAGAGCTCTACTTGAATATTGAAGAACACTGAAGAATGACATTGAAGAAAAGTGTAGAAGATGGAGAAACTTCCCATGTGTTCTCATAGGCAGAACTAATATCTCAAAATGGCCATACTACCAAGAGCAATGGCCATACTACCAAGATTCAATGCAATCACCCTCGAAATGACAATTACATCCCTCCCAGGATTAGAAAAAACAATTCTTGAATTCATTTGGGACAATAAAGACATGAAATACCAAGAGCCATACTAAGCAAGAAAAATTACACAGGGGGCATCAGAATACCTGACCTGAAATGATAGCACAGAACTATAGTAACAAAACCAGCCTGGCATTGGCAACAAATAGACATGAAGACCCGTGTAAAGGGATATTAAGGCACAGAGACAAACCCACACAGTCACAGCTGTCTAGGGATACTTGACAGGAGTGCTAAAAATACACTTTTTAAAAAAGACTCTTTAACAAATGGTGCTGGGAAAACTGGATGCTAGATATATGTAAAAAAGGAAAATAGGTCTGTGTCTCTCACCCTGCACAAAAGTCAAATCACAATGGATCAAAGACTTAGGAATTAGTCCAGAAACCTTAAAAGTGCTTAAAGAAAACGTAGGGCCATCATCGTAGGTGCTGGCCACAACTTCTTTACTGAAACCCCCAAGAGCAAGAAAGAAAATCAAGAGTCAATAAGTGGGATGCTGTCAGTTACCATCTTGTGCACAGCAAAGGAAATGATGAAGGGAATGAAGAAAGAGCCTACAGCAGGGAGAGGAGCTTTGCCAGCCACTCCCCAACAGGGGACTAGTACTCAGAGTATGTGAAGAACTCCAATATATTCAACCTAAATTGTAATAATAACAGTAACCCAAAAAACAAATGGGCCAAAAAACTAACAGAAACTTCTCAAAAGAAAAAACACAAATAGCCAATATGTACATGAAAAAACTGTCAACATTCTTTGTAACCAAATGCAAATCAAAACTTCAGTCAGACAGCAAATGCCAAGATTAGAAATAAAAACAAGTGTTGGTGAGGATGCAGGTGAAATGTATGCTGAAATGTACATGTTGGTGGACCAGCAAATGAAGACCACCATTCAGAAAAGCAGAAAGGAGAATTCTCAAATAACTAGGCATAGAACCACCACATGACCCAGCCAACGCACTCCTTGGAACTTTTGCAAAACATCTAAAATAAGCATCCTACAGGGAAGGAGCTGATAGAGGTTTATAGCAGCACAATTCACAACACCTAAATCATAGAATCAACCAGGTGCTTGTCAGTAGATAAAGAGATTAAAAAACTGTGCTCCCTGGTTTCTACTTCACAATTTGAAGGAAATTGCTTCTCACTCCATCAGGGTCACTTCCTGTTCTCCTCAGCCACAAAGAAGAATGACATCATGTCATTTGACAGTAAGTTGATGGACATGGAGAACATCATGTTAAGGAAAGAAGTCACACTCAGAAAGTCAAAGGTCTAATGTTTTCTCTCAGCTCTGCATACTAGAGTGTAATAAAGGAAAGAAGGAGAGAGGGACAGGATATTACACAGATGTGGGAAAAGTCAGTAGAACAGAAGGAGGTCAAGAGTCTAAGAGGAGGGATGGAAAAGGGAGGAAATGCAGAAGGAATTCTTCTAAAATTATGTTAAGTGTAATATAAATAAAACCACAGGGAATTTCACATTTAGGGATAAATCAAAAGAACCAATCAAAAATAAATGAAGACATGAGCAAAAGGAAGTCTAGTAGAAATTAGGAAGGAGGAGGGTGTAGGGTGAGCAGGGGAGAGGAAAAGGGAGATCCAGAATTGATCCCTAATTCCATACACGTATGGTTTTGTCAGGATGCACCCAACTGTTATGGGGAACTATGATCCTTTACAGAAAAAAAGGTTTGCAATGATTGGCCATGGCAGGAGGTGACCAGTTCCTCCCCAACACTGAGCAGGCCTCAGGAGCCCTCCTCCCTCTAGCTGAGTAGCTCTGTGTGTAGCTGCTGCAGAGTGAGGCCACCAGCCAGCCACACCAGGGTCTCAGGGTCAGAGTCCAGGGCACATCCTGCCTGTCCTGTGACTCCCAAATAGAAAGTCACTAAGACCCAGGAAACCGTGAGGGGCTTAGGTACAGGCCCAGGGAAGGAGGCCTTCTTCCTGCAAGGTGTGCTCCAATTCCTTCTGAAAATGCAGCATGAGAGACCCCTTTGCGGTCTGTGCTCCTGGTTTCTACTTTATAATTTTGGAGGAAATTGCTTGTCACAGTCACTTCCTCTTGAAACAGAGTAGGCAAAGTGTCAGTTCTCTCCAGAGAGCAGAGTCAGGGATCTCCCCAGCACAGACACTGGGACAGAGAAGGCTCCTTAGAGCTCCACCATGTCTGCACCTGCCTCCTGGCCCCAGCGTCCCTGTCCTGTCCTGCTGCTGACCCTCCTGCTGGGACTCACAGGTGAGTGAGCACTGTCTGGGGAGAGTCCTCTGTCCTGGCCCCTAGGTCAGCTCTGGCCATGGACTCCCAGGGACTCAGGACAAACACAGGCTCTGCCATGGAGGCTGGGACAGGGCATTCTCTGGAGCTCAGACCAAGGGTCCTGAGCACTGTCTCTGGGAGGCCTCCCCTGCAGCTGGGGACAGAGGCATCACATCAGCTGATGCTTCAAACAGCAGTGACAAGAATGACTTGCATATTATAATACTTCAGCTCACAGAGCATCTCTCCAGAGGATCAGTGTGTAAATCCTGATAACTTCTGAGATAGCCAGGGTGAGGTGATCTCCTCAAGGCCATGGAGTAAGCGATCCCCCCCCTCCCTGCTCTCTCTCTCTCTCTCTGTCTCTCTCATAGTCTGGCCTTGAGGTACATGGCTTTGTCCCATCATACCTTCCCCTCCATTGATTTGCTGCCTCCCACAGGCCCAATACCCATGGGGACAATCAATGCTGGACTGAAACCTCTAAAACTGTGAGCTGTCATCCTGCTTTTCTCTTCATAAGTGGATTTGTCTCAGGTATTCCTTACAGTAATGAAGAGTTGACTGACACAGGCTGTGACGATGTCCTTACCCTTATCTACATTATAGGGGACCAGTGGAAGGCTCTGGGCCTCAGGAAATCTACTGAGTAATGACTTTCAACTTCTTGAACACTCACCATGGGCCAGACTCTCTTTAAATGCTGTACAGCTCATCACGTGACCATGACACCCACAGCAGACACTCTGGTCACCCACCTCACAGCTAACAAGCAGAAGCACCAGGAGCTCCGTGGTCATTCAGGGGCAGTGCGAGGGCTGGGGTTTGGGTGCAGATGCTCTGATCTGGAGCTCGTGGTTCACCCACCATCTTCTCAAACTCTGTGGCCCTGACCCTACATGTGGCCAGACATTGTTTTACTGGTGTGTAGCATGACATCATGGGGTCAGATGTCTGTTTCCAAAGACCTGGGGCATCTCATGCTCATCATGGGTGGTCTAGAGACCCCAAGAGGATTTGGATCTTGTTTCTTTTCTTTCTTCTTTTTTTGAAAGCAATAAGAAGGTGCCTGGTTTAAATTTGTATATGAAATTAGTAAACTATTCGTATGTGGACTGATTTACACACTTTGTACAGCTTCTGCCAATGGGTGTAGACAATGGTGGAGGAAAAGGGTTTGTGGTTTTCTTCTCCTGGGCTCTTCTACTTCCTGCCTATATCTGGCAAACAGTTCTTGTTTTGCTAAATATTCTGTGTGGGAAACTCAACTTGTGGCCATTTCTACAAAATGTATCCACTGCAAATCGACTTCTGCAATGCAGGGAGGGTTGCACTGAGCAATTCACACAGTAAGTACACACTGATTGTACACCTACTGTGTGCAGGAACTCTTACAGAAACTTGCAATGTGTTGAGCATAAAAGAGGCAAAGGATTTGCCCTGTGTAGCTAAGGTAACTCTAGGGACAATGGTGGTGATCAACACACTACAAAGAGGTAAATCATGTCACATATTGAACAGTGATCAATGTGACTTGAAAACAATCAGTGGGATAAGGGAACTGGAGAACGAGTGGGAGAGGCACTGCAAATGGGTTGGTCTGGGTGGGCATCACTGAGAAGGGGAATTTGAGCAGAGATTTAGAGGAGGGGCAAGAGTGGCCCTGAGGTTTTCTGGCAGAAGGGCTTCCTGATAGAGAAACCCCATGTGCATAGGGTGTGAGAGCAGATGTCCCTGCTGTGTTTAAGGGACTTCCTCTCACTCTGATTGAAATGGGAGCCACTTCTAGGTGTTGAGCAGAGAGGTGAATTGCCCTGAACTCAGGAGACTGCCTGGGCTGTGGCAAGGTGTGTTGTCCTTGGGTCCCATGCTTTAGAGAGAGGCTCTGGTTAGGGGTGGAAGGCAGCCACATCCCACTGAGTTCCAGGGTGTATGACAGGTGGCTAGGCCATTCCTACAGTCCACAGATTTCCATTACGTCCACTAGGTTAATTCTTAGGGCTCCAGCTAGCCAAGGGGCCTGGTGGGAGGTGACCCCCCTCTGATACCCAGGCTTTGGGTAAGGGTCTAAGCATGGGGAAGTCACCCCATCCTGCCAGTGGGAAAGGCCAGATGGTCTAGTTTTTGCTTTATCTTCTCCTGATGATGCTTTCATAGCTGTGGGGAGTGGTTGAGGTGATCAGTGTTCATGGAGCATATAAGCCCTAGAGAGCCAAGGGGTCACCAGACATCTGTTGTTTTCATGATATGGAGACAAGTCCATGAGGGGAAGAATTTCCCAAAGCCAGGGGGCAGTTTATGATCCTGGTGAGTGGTCCAGTGCCTCCAAGGGGAATTTCTGTCTGCTGCTTAAATGGGATAACAGGGGTGTGTGTTGGTCTTTTTTTTAATTTTTAAATTTGTTCTCTTTAGTTATACATGACAGTAGAATGTATTTTGATATATTATACATACATGGAGTATAACTTCCCATTCTTGTGGTTGTGCATGCTGTGGAGTTACACTGGTTGTGCATTTACTGCACCAATTTGCAGTCCTACCATTAATGTTTGAATGTACCTTTCCCCCCAACACATCCTTGCCAACATTTTATTGTTACTTGTGTTATTGATAATTGCCATTCTGACAGGAGTGAGATGGAATATCAGTGTAGTACTAATTTACATTTCTCTAATTGCTAGAGATATTGAACATTTTTCATATATTTGTTGACTGATTATATTTCTTTGTCTATGAAGTGACTGTTCCATTCCTTTCCCATTTATTGACTGGGTTGTTTGTTTTGGTGTTAAGTTTTTGAATTCTTTATATATCCTGGAGATTAATGCTGTATCTAAGATGTTGGTGGCAAAATTTTTCTCCCATTCTGTGGGATCTCTGTTCACCTTCTTCATGTTCCCCTTGCTATAAAGAAGCTTTAAACTTTGATATCATCCCTTTTATTGATATTTTATTTTATTTCTTGCACTTTAGAAGTCTTGTTGAGGAATTTGCTTCCTCAGCTGATATGATGGAGAATTGACCCTACTTTTTCTTCTAGTAGGCACAAGGACTCTGGTGTAATGCCTACATCCTTGATCCACTAGAGTTAAGTTTTGTGCAGGGTTATAGATAAAGGTTTAATATCATTTTGCTACATGCAGCTGTCCAGTTTTGCCAGTACCATTTGGGAAGAGGCTCTCTTTTCTCCAGGTAGGTTTTTGGTGCCTTGTCTAGTATGAGAGAACTGTGTATGTGGGTGCATCTGTTTGTCTTCTATTCTCTACCATTGGTCTTTATGTCTGTTTTGATGCTGAAACCATGCTGATTTGTTACTATCACTCTGTAGTATAATTTAAGGTCTGGTATTGTGATGCCTCCTGCTTCACTTTTCTTGCTGAGGATTATTTTGCTATTGTGGGACTCTTATTTTTTTCAAATGAATTTCACAATTACTTTTTCTACTTCTTTGAAGAACATTATTGGAATTATAATATGTATTGCACTAAATAGGCATAGTGCTTTTGGTAGTATAGCCATCATGACAGTATTAGCTCTGCCTATCCAAGAACACAGGAGGTCTTTCCACATTCTAAGGTCTTATTCTATTTCTTTCTTTAGTGTTTTTGTACTTTTCATTGTTAGATTGATTCCCAAGTATTTTTGAGGCCATTCTGAATGGGATGGTTTTCTTAACTTCTTTTTCAGTTAATTCATCACTGATATATAGGAATGCAATTTATTTATGAGTGTTAATTTTATATCCTTCTGCTGTCTGAATTCATTTTTGAGAAATGTTTTCTGGTGGGATTTTTTTGGATCTTCTATGTATAGAATCATGTCAGCGGCAAACAGAGATGGTCTGATTTCTTCTTTTCCTATGCATATCTTTTTAATTCCTTTCTTCTGCCTAATTGCTCTGGCTAGAGTTTCAAGGACGATGTTGGATAAAAGTGGTGAGAGGGTGTCCCTGTCTTGTTCCAGTTTATAGAGGAAATGCTATCATTTTTTGTTATATAGAATGGTGTTGGCCTTGTGTTTTGCATATACAGCTTTGACAATGTTGAGGTATGTTCCCATTATCGCTAGTTTTTCTAGTGTTTTGAATATGAATTTATTCTGAATTTTGTCAAATACTTTTTCTGTATCTATTGAGATAATAAACTGGTTCTTGTATTTAGGTCTATTGACATGATGAATCACAATTATTGATTTCCATATGTTGAACCAACTTTGCATTCCTGGGATGAACCTCACTTGATCATGGTGCATTATCTTTTTAATATGTTTTTATGTTATTTGTATTTTATCAATAATTTTTGTATCTATGTTCACCAGGGATATTGTTCAGAAATTTTCTTTCCTAGATGTGGCTTTGTCTGGTTTTGGTATTAGGGATGATACCAGCCTCATATAATGAGTTTGGAAGTGTTACCTCCTTTTATATTTCATAGAATAATTTGAGGAGCATTAGTATTATTTCTTCTTTGAAGATCTGTTCAAGCTAGGCTGAGAATCCATCTGGTCTTTTTCTTTGTTGGTCAGCTTTTGATGACATCTTCATTTCCATGTCTTTCTGATTCAATTTGGATAGGTCATATATGTCTCAAAATTTGTCAATGTCTTCAAGATTTTCTGTTTTATCAGAGTTTATATTTTCAAAATAGTTTCTGATTATCTTCTGCATTTCAGCAGTGTCCATGGTATTATTTCCTTATTTATTACAATTTTTTATAATTTGAGTTTTCTTTCTCTTTCTCTGTGTTAGCTTGGCTAAGTATTTATAACTTTTGTTTCTTTTTTCAAAGAACCAAAATTTTCTTTTTCAATGTTTAAAATTGCTTCTCTTTCAATTTTATTGACATCACCTCTTAATTATTTCCTGTATTTTTCTGTGTTTGGTGTTGATTTTTTTTTGTTTTTCTAGGACTTCAGATATAATACTAACTTATTTATTTTGTGACTTTCTGTTCTTTCAATGAATGAGCTCAATGCAGTGA